GTTCATCAACTTCTGTTCTCGTTAATTCATTGTCTCAATATTGTTGATTCTCTAGCAAATACATAAAGAAGTTTTCAAATAAATCGTTTAAGTATTTTGATAAAGATGTAAATAAGTTTTAATATTATTTTATTCAAATTACAGGATAAATCCGAATTTGTTTGTGTTCATCATCTTCTGTTCTCGTTAATTCATTGTCTCAATATTATTGATTCTGTAGCAAAAACATAAAGAAGTTTTAAAACAAATCGTTTAAGTATTTTGATAAAGATGCAAATAGGTTTTAATATTATTTTATTCAAATTACAGGATAATTCCAAAATGACCTTTCTTCCATTTAACCTATTGATTTAATTAACATTAACCGAGCGTTGCTGTAACCTCTAGTACCAGAATTTTCGAGTCGTCTATTTGCATTATTATTAATATTATTCTCGTCGGAAAATTTATTAACTATTTGTTTTGAACGTGGAGGTCGAAAGGTCACACTTTCATAAACTAACACATTAGATATGTAAGTAATGCTCTTTTCCAGTTTCATTCAAATACAATTTAATGTACTTATCAGATTATAGCACACTAAATCATGAAGATAAACAGCGATGATTATTTCCAATTTTAATTGTAGGCTTTAATCAGATTGTAGAATGAAATATTTTGTCGTTAATAATATGTGTGCTGAAGTTCCAATTAAAGTTTAAATTAAGTTTTGCAGATTAAATAAATCGCGTTTATTATATAAATACGTTTTGATTAGCGTCAGATTATCTTCGTTGTTCTTTTGTGAAGGTCAATGGAGGAAATTATCGATGTTAACTGAATGCACCAATTGAATTAGTATTTCAGATGTTAATTACCAGACGAGTGCGTTCTTGTCGAGACTTCACCACAACTCTACCTGCCCTCATGTTTTTTTTTGTTGTTGTTCTCTTTTGGTCTGAGGATACTCCATCTTCCACTTACCTGTTCTACCTGTTCCATTTCGAAAATTTTCGATCAAAGTGTATCCTTTTTTTCAGTACTTGTGGCATCGTAAATATCATTTTTGTTTTGATTAGAAAAGACTTGGTCTTTTTGCGCGCATCATTCATATGCAGGATGTTTACAATTTATATATATGTGACACGGTTCCACAAGTCGTCTCTGTCCTTGATTCGATGACGGAAGGTTGGAAAAGAAGAGGCAACCGAAGAAACTCTTGTTAAATATTAGCAATTTGCGAGAGAGATAGAGAAGGAGAGAGGCCGTTTATTTTAATAACGGTCGCAGCATCCATCCATCAATCGAAGCCACTTCACCCATGATGGAGACCAGATTAATGATGGCAAATAAAGCCATTTTTTCACCCACATTCGTCTACTCCTCATCTCTGCAATTACGCTGATCAGATTTTATAGGTCAAACTATTCTTTTCCTTTGTCATCAATTTGATCTGTCCAATCATTACGATAAAACTGAATTGATTCTATATTCAATATAAAATTGGATGTGGTAACTACTGTAATTTCCATTTTAGGAAGGTTTTCGAGAATTTCGTCCTCTTCGACTTTCCTGGAAGACGTTAAAACGCTTTTTACGTTCGCGTCCAAGAGACAACGTCAAAAGTTATTCCCCTTTCTGAATATTACTTTTTAAAGAGCTTGGCATACCTTTGAATCAATGTTTATTTCATTTCCTGTAATTCCTATTAAAATACACTTTGAACACAAATTTAACTAAATTTTTCTTAATTTCTGTAAATAATTCAATTAGTTTATATTAGTATAAATTATACAACTTATTTATAATTAAAAAAACAAAAATCATTCACAAACAATAAAGATTCATGACTTACTAATGGTTATTTCATTTTTGTAATCGATGATCATTTAAGAATTAAACAATTTTAACAAAGAAATGAATGATTTATTTAAATAAAAAATAGTTTCTCTTTTATTTAAATTTGTTAATGACGTGAAAATGTTCATCAGAAACAAACAATTAAGATTCATGACTTACTAATGGTTATTTTCTTTTTTGTAATCGATCAGTGAAGAATTAAACAATTTTAACAAAGAAATTTAAGAATTATTTAAAATAAAAATTAGTTTCTCTTTTATTTAAATTTGTTAATGACGTGGAAAATGTTCTCTTCAGAAACCGATCGACTTTTTTTTTTTTTAATATTATTACTTTTGCTTAAGCAATTGAGGTTAAACCGCGAATTTGTTTTCTCTTCGGATTTTAACTCTCTATTTTTGACTGTTAATGGACAAACAAATGATTCATTGCGTAATGATTTTTATATATATATATATTTCGAAATATGAACAATTCGCTGAAATTAAATTAAGAATTTCTTTTATAAATCATGTAACGATTTTTTTAAATTAACGAAAGTTGTAAATTGTTTTATTTCCATTTTGATAAAATGAGAAATTGTTGTTTGATTATGAACTAAATGAAATTTCGATGTTATAATTGAGATGGAAAGATTCAAAGGAAATATTTGAGGAGTCTAGTATGCAAACATGGCACGTAGTTGCTAGAAAATCTGTTGTTTGCTGATTTTTCTAGTGTTTCGTGGATTAAAAGCAAATACTCAAGAGCGCCGCCCTTCTTATCTTCCGCAAGATTTAAGTTATCTGCGCCCGTTGCGCAGTCTGTTCCCTCTGCGCACTCATTTTTCCTGCCCTACCACCAGAATTACTGGTTATCTTTCCCGAAGGTAAAACCGAACCCAACGCAAGGTACAACCTTCTTCTCGTTTTTTTTTTTTGTATTTATATTTTGGTATACCGAGTCAGTTGTTCTCTGTACCGGGTGGCTACACGGTCGGATTCCCTCCTCTTTCGGCTCTCGTTCCGTCTCTGAATAGGAGACTGTTTTGTTCTGCATGGTCTATGGTTTCGAGGATTCTTTCGGGTTTTCTGCCATGTGCAAGGATGGATTTGAGGAAGGACCCGTGCTGTGCGTACCGTTTATATTATTCGTTGCTTTGCGAAGATCGTTTGATTCTCTTGTTGTTGTTTTATTGTTTCTTGTTTTTTTCAACAGTCTTGTTTTATTTGTTTGCAGCCTCAGCGAATGCTACTTCGCTGGAAAGGGCACGGCGTTGGTGCTGCCGGCGACATCCGAGGCCCAGAAATCCAGCAGACGGAGCGGAGCCGGTTCGAATATCCAGAAGCATCTGCAGTCCATGTTTTACCTCCTGAGGCAGGAAGAGACGTTGAAAATGGTGAGTGATTTATACTAGAAGCCTCCCCTTCGGTAGGCTTAAGAGACCCTGATCCCTTTATCGCGAAAATGTTTCACAAGGGCTTCGAAAACCCTCCACATCCACAGCAAATTTATTCAGAATAATGCACATTTGAAACCCCCCTCATAATAGCATAATAACCATTTTAAGGATTATGACCTGAACTTTGCGAGAAGAATAGAAAATTGCGTTCGTTTTCTCCAAGAACTGAGTTATGCATTCTGCAATTATAAATACACTCTCGAAAGATGCAAAAGAAAAACACAACAACAAGAATGAGAATTATATGATATGCCTGTATCTATATGAGAGTGGCAATCATTTGCCATTTACGTTTGTAATTAAGACGCGCGCTTTATTCTTCTTGGTCTTGTTCTTCCTCGGCCTTAATTTGTTTTGACTTGCGAGAAAGCGGCGTGGAGCACCGGTCTTCATCATTATCTATCACGGCATTATTTTTTTCTTTTGTTATTTCAAGGTTTTCCGCTAATTTATGGATGCGCCAGGATCGTAAATAAACGCAATTTCGGTTTCATCTTCTCTTTTTTTTTTTTTCAATTACAACATCATCGCGTATGCCTTTAAATGTCATTAATTCACCTCAATTACCTCACCTCGAATTTTTACCAATTTTTGATTTCTCAATGCTTGTGTAATCTCATTGTATTTGTATTGGGAATTTATTAAATATAGAAAATGATTTTGTGCAAGATGAGCTTTTTTCCAGGATGTTCTCAAGTGGGTCAAGATTGTGGTGTTTCTGTATCATCATGCTCTAGCTAAATATAGCAGTTTTTTTTCTGCATACTAAAACGTAAATATTATCGTGCCCCAGAGGGCTTCCATGTTGACGTTATTGGATGTTTTTACATGTATATATTTTGTTTTCGGTGGCAGGTCGTGCTAGGCATTTCGATTTCCGTCTTCCACGTCTCGACATTCCGCAGACGTCGTTGCGTAATAACTGCTTCCGGCGCTTCGCTTTTGGTTTATCGCTATTGTTTTATTATTTTTGACATTTATTTTCGTATTCAAATCCAAGTTCAATATCATAGGAAAAAACATTCAAAATTTATACAACTATGTGAGTGAGTTATGTTCGTTGTTTTTGGAGGCTGAAAATCTCGTGTAAACTTCAAATTAGTTTTTTTTAATGTAGTTGTTGCTGCAATCGAGTTTTGTTAATTGAAAAAACGTGTTCTGGGACAGCATCACAATTTCTAATTAATGTAATGAATTGTGAGTCCATAAAAGTTCACAAGAAAATACTTTGGAAACTTGTTTCTCTAAAGATAAATTGAAACTGGAACTTTAAGTTTATTTATTAATGGTTTTGTAAATGTAATCAAACGTTCAGATTGTTTTCAGGATTCGAAGAAACTTATTTGAATTGAGAAGATAACATTTCTGAAAAATGTATTTAAGATATGGCGGCAAACTTTGAGACGTCTTTCGGAATAATTTGGACGTTCTGAGAATGCGAACAATGGCTTAAAACTAATTTGCGTTTTAAATAAATATGGATTTGCGTGAATCGCACACATTGTTTTGAGGTGACTCAAAAGAGTCTGCTGGGTCCTATTGGGAATTTCCCAAATCTCAAATTTTCTTCTTCTCTGACTGATTCATCTTATTATTACCCGCAAAGATTCCTCGACCTCTTGCGAAAATCGCATTCTATTCGCGGCTTTCCTCGTTCCATTATCCCACATTTTCCGAACGATAAGCGTTTCGTCGTCGTCGGCGCGCATCTTATAAATACTCCTCACTCAGACGTTGCGCAACGCTCCAGCTTTTTTCTCTTGTTTGTTGTTTGTTGCTCTCTTCGCGTTGATGAAATTATCCTTTCCTCGATCTTACCACACTTTTCGGGAGAAACTCGCTCGACGCTTTCCACACGCATTATTATTTGTAATTGTTTCATAACTCTACGACCGCAATATTGTTTCTCTTTCGTTGCACCTTGCTCCGTTTTCTGCTGCGTTTATTCTCTCGCCTGAAAGTTCGATAATTGTGTAAACCTGCGAGATTGCTCAACGAGTATTTCTCGTATCATATTTTCTTGCATTTCAATTACGTGTCTCTCCTGCGGTACACCTGTGCATAAATTAACGTCGACCCGAACTTGACATTTCAAAACGAAGAAAGAGAACTGTAGCAGAGAGAAATATAATAAAGAAGTGCGAAGAAAAGAACGATCGAATGAAATAATAAACAGCAAGAAGTTTTCCGAGCGCGTTTGTAACTTTCTATAATGGAAATAAAACGCGCGAGGCGATTTGTCCCTATTTGCTCACCAGAATAGACAAGTTTTTATTTTTGTCAAGACCTCTCTCTGAATTCAGTATTTATTTTGAACTTTCATCCCTTTCAAATCAAATTAGAAATTATTTATACAATGAGGAAGAGATTCATTCTTTAGTTATGATAGTTAATTTCGTAATTAATTAACCTCATCATCGTTGTTAATTAAAATCTCCATACATAAATTTCAAGAAACAATTACGTGAGATTAATTTACTATAAATATTAATTTATTACGTAATTTAAGAATGTAATTTCAATTTCTACAATTGTTAAAACTGTATATTTACAAACTGCAAAAAGCCTTGGATTCAATACATTCGGTAATGTTCCGTTAATATAACTATTAGGAGTTGCATTTAATTTCCATGACATTAGCCATGACTTGTTTTCTGTTTCGCTCATCAATTTTTGCCCAAATTTTGTTTGTTGATGTTTTGCATCACATATGAATCTGCTTGCATACGTTGATCATATTTCAATCAGCATAGTTTTGAGCATAGAAGGAAATGGGCTCGGTTCTCTGATTCAGGTCATCTCTCGAGGTACTCGTCACAAGAAGGTGTGTTGCAGTTTTTTTTCTGTTTGTTGTTGTTGCTGCTGCTATTGCTATTATTTATGTCTTTCCAGGCAGGAAATCAAGATTTCTAACAACCTTTTTTTTTTATTCGTATTATTGTGGATGCATGCATCGTGTGTTTGTTACTATGATCCAATATCAAGTTCAACTCGAATGTTGTACCCTTCATTGATTTGTAGATATCGTCTGACCCATTTGGAGTTCATTGTGTTTTCGTCGAGTTTATACAACCAAAAAGTTTGTGTGTATGTGTGTGTATGGTTAAAGAGGCGATATGCAAATCTGCACGAGGCGATGTATGCAAATTTTATTAATATTGGTATCTACTTTGTAGGTGCGCGTTTTTCTTTGCGATTAAGTATATATAAAACTTGATTATCGCAATTAGTTTAAACCGGGTTATCTTATATAAATATATTAAGCCGCGTTTATTTTAATTGTGACTTTTATTTTATTTTTAAATCTGCTCACAAACAATGCTCGACGATTGACGTACGTTTGTTTTCGTTTGAATTTGGAATGATGGGAAAAAGTGATCTATGAATAGACTTTGGGGGCTGCGTTTCTTGAACTCTCCGCTTCGCCAAAACTCCCTCCCGTTTGTTTATTACGTATCAATCCGCCTCGGACACTTATCGTCTATTACTTAATAGATAATTTATGGCTGAATGCGGCGGCGAACGCCTCTCACGACGGCCGTCGAAATAAATTTCCTCTCTTGAATTTATCGTATTCGCACTTTATAGCATCCGGGAATAAACACCTTCTTAAACTGCATTTTATTCTTTGTTTGACCGCTCGCATCATATTAAAAAAAAAATGATGAATTACGCGCGTAACCCAAATGACGTCTCCACTTGTGCTCGGTCACCCACTTATAAAACATGATTAACTGTAGCTCAAGCAACTACCACGACTCTTAATCTGTATGCTGGAATAGTAGAGAAATCCATGGAAAATTAACTACAAATAGTTATTAACCCTTTCCAGCCCAGTGATTCCAAATGGAATCATCAATTTTTAAATTCAATTTTGTCTTTCGACGATTAAAACTGTTGGAAGTAATTAATGAAAATTGAAGCTAAATGTTTTCTTAATAGTAGGTAATGTTGAATAATGAAAAAAAAATAAGTAAGATGTTTTTTTTATGATTAAAGAAGTACTTTTATAAGGATTTGAATAATACAGAACAAAAATTTGGAAAAATAAAATTGTGTAAAAAGGAGGAAAGGTTTCTCATGTTTCTCTATATTATTTATAGCTAAATTATGCTTTAAATATGATCTTTGATTTTCACAATTTATCCAAATGATGAATGCACACGTGCATGATTAAAAAAGTGCTTTTATAAGCATTTGAATAATACAGAACAAAAATTTGGAAAAATGAAATTGTGTAAAAAGGAGGAAAGGTTTCTCATGTTTCTCTATATTATTTATAGCTAAATTGTGCTTTAAATATGATCTTTGATTTTCACAATTTATCCAAATGATGAATGCACACGTGCATGATTAAAGAAGTACTTTTATAAGGATTTGAATAATACAGAACAAAAATTTGGAAAAATAAAATTGTGTAAAAAGGAGGAAAGTTTTCTCATGTTTCTCTACATTTTTTATAGCTAAATTTTGATTTAAATATGATCTTTGATTTTCACAATTTATCCAAATGATGAATGCACACGTGCAGGAGAAGAGAACATTCTTGGAAGACTGTGCGCTTTAATATCCGAGCAATTAGCGTTTATTTTGTGTTAATGTGCGCTCATTTAGCTCATTAGTCCGTTAACACCAAACTAGAAGATGAAGAAACAAAAAAAAAATAAGGAAAAAGGACGTGGCGAATTTCGACATGGATGTGAACAGGATGTCGGTTCACCTTCGGGTCTTGAGGTTTTTGGCAAAGTTCTGTAGTTTTTGTTGTTTGAAATTGTATTTTGTATCGCGTGTTTTGTATTCCACGTGTTCGTTTAAGTAGAACAAAAGTATGTACAAGTTGGATGATTTATGTGGACGCTCGATCAATGTGTTAGGAACACAGTGTTGAGTATTATATTTAGAACAAAGTTATACTTTGTGGAAGGAAATTTGTTGAAACTGATCAAAATTGATATTTGTTTAGTTTCTCGATGATTTGGTTAATCAGATGATTGCATAAGAAGGTTCGTAACGCTAATTTGTAGATGGTAAAAGACACGTCTTTGTGCATTGTCTTTTTTTTTTTTTGTTGTTGTTTTCTTATTGCGAAATGGAAATTGTTGTTGAGCGCTACGATTCGTAATACTTATTAGTTCTGCACGATGGATCCATCCGTCTGGTATGTGTGTGTGTGATTTTAGAAAATTTGAATTGCGAACCTGCTGACAAACGAAAGCGAAGCTTTTCCATGCTCAGTTAAGGTCAATCATAAAAGTCATGACTGAAATCGAAAGTATTGTATTTCGAAGCCTTTTGTTCGGAGTAAGTTCATCAAGTTCAGGTGGAAGTGGGTACAAACGTACGAGATGCACGATCTACTTACACCAAATTAAGATGAATACTATTTCGAGTCGTAAAGAGAAGATTTCCAATTGGAAAACACGACGTGGATTGCCACTTTTATCATGCGAGCAAATACGTATGTAGGATTAAGGGACATCATTCGCAGAAGACGAGACTCGGTGTCTCCATCATAAAATCCTTCCTCGTTCGTGCTCTGGGTTCTGATGAGATTGCAACAGAGCGGATTGTTTCGCGTTTGCTCGCGTTTCGTCAATCAAATGCAAATGGTAGATGAAGAACGGAGTGGTGAGACCTAGTTTGCATTAAAATTAAACGTGATTGTGTTGCGTATTGTTTTGTTTGCGTCGTTCGAAATATCAAGGATGCTCCGATCCTAAATGAAGATGAAACGCGGAACGGAAAGCGAGCAGCATTATATAATGGGACGCCTCTATCAATAGACCAAGACTTATATACTTTGGTCGTTCCGGTTTTACCTCTGTTTCTGACACCTGCTTCATTTAGTATTCGTATTGTAGTATATGGGAAACCCTAGGAAAAAGCATTAAAAATCTGGTTTTGAGAAGAACATAGTAAAAATTATTATATCCTTCTCTACATTCCAATACAATAAATACTATTAACCTTTCGCGTTATCCTTGAATCTTTATATAAAAATGAATAAAAATGAAAGCAATTTAAAAACCCAATGAATTATTATAGATAAATTGATTATTTTATTTGAGGGTTGAATTTAATTTAAGGATTCGATTGTATAGAGTGTTTTTTTTTCTTTTCCTAGGTAGTAAAAATAATAATGATCGGATGACCTTTTCGGGTCTTCGAAATGCCAGACGGTGAAGGGAAAAGAATCGATGTTATTTGTGAATCCTTCTCCTACACGCTTTTCTTGTTCGCCTCCTCGTGCCGGGAGAGTTAACAATTCTAGATGGAATCCAATTGAATTTAGATAATACAAAATATGAGTTAAAACTATCATAAAATAATGATGGAATTGTAGTGTGTTCTTTGTGCGATGATTCCTAAAAGTAATATAAATCGCTGATATTTAAGGAGTAATCTAATAATGATGATGGGTCGTGACCTTTCGTCGTCGAACAAGTATATAGATATAGATCCTTCCAGATAATATGCATGCAGGTATAAATAGAGGTAATCCGTGTCTGTGTTGTTTACTACTATAAAATACCGTTATTGAATAGTCGTTTTTGGATGCATGCATATTTATTAATTTCTTGTTTTTGTCTTCTTTTCAGGCTGTCAAATTGGAGAGCGTTCATCCTGTGCGAACCCGTTACTTGGTGGTCGTGTCCAGGACGGGCGCGAGAGGCGAGGAATCCTGCTTATTAGGCATAGACTGCAACGAGCAGACCACCGTCGGTCTCGTCCTGAAAGTCCTTGCAGACACCTCCATCACTCTGGATGGCGACGGGTGAGTTAAGCAACCTACGTAATGCAATTGCAGAACTAATTTCAACTGCCGAAGATAAACCCAACTACCCTGTGGTAAATGCAGAGAGTGAGTGAGTGAGAGTGAGTGCTTTCCGTTCATTACATCGGGACGGTTTATAATTAGAGATGAATGTAATCAAGAGGATTGCACCTAAGACACACACGTTCAGCAGAAAATCTTGCCTTTGCAAGCACTCTTCAATTAAAACTTCGTGCAAAGCAAAGAAGATGCTCGAGATGCAATTATGAAATGTGCCATTTTCGATTAGCGTCCGAACGAAAAACGTATTTAGTTTAGCCTTATAAACACTGACTTTACACTATTTTCTCCGCGTAGGTTTTATAATTACCATCTTTTAAATACGTCGAGAAGCATCGTTTTGTTTATCCAACACTTTAAGAGTCAGCAATTGCTTCAACATAGTTTACTAAAAAAAAACAACAATTGTACCTTAAAATTCCATGAATCACGCGCATTCTACAACGTTGTTTACAAATTCAACTTCGTTTAATTTGAAAGTAAAATTTTTTTCGTTTATCGGAATTCCCATTACAATGGCAAACTAGTAATTAGCGAAATCGCGCATTGGGTCAATGTCACCTGTAATTCTTATGCAACACTTTTTTTTTTTTCGAATTTACTTCTTCCTGATCGAAGTAAAATTGTTAAGTCTTGTTCGCGCAGAAAATTTGCGCATTTTCTAAATTTGCGTGCACGCGCGCTCCGTTTCAGACGTTTTCAGGAATAAGTGAAATAAAAACAGAGAGAGAGAGCGCTCTCCTCTTCTTTATTTTTTTCCATTTATTTATTTCGGTTTCCCGAAAATACATTTCCTCCACTGTTAGATGCCTCTCCGATGCGGCGTAGTTTGCTGCGTTATTTGTTTTGCGCGTTTCGTTTGGATTTTTCAACTTCTATTTCACTTTATTCCAACCTTGGCTTTAAAATAAAGCTTTGTACTTGGTGGCGGAGTGATTAGAGTTTTCGGTGCATGCGTGCCACGAGCGAGGCGCGAATTCGATGATAAAAGACGCGTTATAAAGTTGCGGCTTTTTAGTGCCGTCCACGGTGTGTGCCAGCAAATATGAAGAGACACGATTTTCTTACCGCTCTGTTCCTCGATGCGCTCTATTACGTCTTCAGTTTGAAGTATCTGAAGAGGCTTCAGATGTTCCTCGAGCAATTGGGGTAAGATTATTGCAGAATACGTATCGAATTCAATTGAGTTTCTTTTTTTTTATAAATAAAGTTAAATGTAAACATTAATCAATTATGAAGGTAATTTAGTTTAGATCACCTTTGAAGATTCAATGTTTTAAGTAAAAATAAGTCAATACATTTTGAACGCCAAAGCTTTAACAAACAACCCAATAACAAAATGTATAAATAGAATTTGAAAAGCGTATTTTTTAATGGAAATTTCTTCAAATCAAACGTAATATTAAGCATATAAGGAAATCTTCAAATCTTTGTATTAAAGCTTAAAGTTATAAATTTAATATTTGCATTAATCATAGTTCAATGAAGATTCCAAATATTTTAATGTACGTAATATAATGTTAAAGTTTTTGAAGTTGATATTTTATGCTTGACCTTCATTACGAATTGGCGTTTCTTCCAATTGTTAACCATATTTGGTATAACTTGAACCACTTCACCAAGTTAGCGAAATTCAACAATAAGTATTAGCATTAGATTTTAAGTTTCCTTTTTCATCAAACAAAGAAGCTTCACTTTGTTTCTAATTACTAATTGAAATTGGAATTAACAATTTAAAGTTTTGGTTTAAAATAAAACTTTAAATGTTAATTAAGATTCGCAAATAGATTCCTTTCTTTCTAAATCTTCACATGTATGTCAATTGGGGTAAGATTATTGCAGAATACGTATCGAATTCAATTGAGTTTATTTTTTTTTATAAATAAAGTTAAACGTAAACAATAATCAATTATGAAGGTAATTTAGTTTAGATCACCTTTGGAGATTCAATGTTTTAAGTAAAAATAAGTCAATAAATTTTGAACGCCAAAGCTTTAACAAACAACCCAATCCAATAACAAAATGTATAAATAGAATTTTAAAAGCGTATTTTTTAATGGAAATTTCTTCCAAATCAAACGTAATACTAAGCATATAAGGAAATCTACAAATCTTTGTAATAAAGCTTAAAGTTATAAATTTAATATTTGCATTAATCATAGTTCAATGAAGATTCCAAATATTTTAATGTACGTAATATAATGTTAAAGTTTTTGAAGTTGATATTTTATGCTTGACCTTCATTACGAATTGGCGTTTCTTTCAATTGTTAACCATATTTGGTATAACTTGAACCACTTCACCAAGTTAGCGAAATTCAACAATAAGTATTAGCATTAGATTTTAAGTTTCCATTGTCATCCGAAGAGTCATTGTCAGCAAACAAAGAAGTTTCAGTTTGTTTCTAATTACTAATTGAAATTGGAATTAATAATTTAAAGTTTTTCATTAAAATAAAACTTTAAATGTTAATTAAGATTCGCAAATAGACTCCTTTCTTTCTAAATCTTCACATGTTGTCCTTCGGGATTTTCAGCTGCGTTCCTCTGGGAGTGTGAAAAAATGTACTTTTTGCTTATCTCTCCAGACTCCTTGACTATCCTCGAAGATTGCTGCGACCGACGTCGTCGTCCTTTCAATGAGCTTGAATCTCGGCCCTCTCCACGTTTTACATATCCTTCTATTTTATTTTTTATTTATTTTTTTCGCCTGCCGTTTTGTATCCTGCAGACGGCAATTACCGCCTCCGTGTGCTCGGAAAAAGGAGGTTGCGAAGACGAAGGAGACGAAGTCTGTCTTTCTCTCCGTCTTCAACGAGAAGAAGGAGACTGAGGACGAATGAAATATCCGCGCTCGTGTCGCGTCACGCTGTCTGAGGCCGTATTATGAATATATATATATACAGTATATACAGAAACTAAAAACAAACACATACACACAACATGCAGTTAACTCTTTCGTTTCTGTTTGGTTTATAAATAAATTTTCGGAAAGGTTTGTTTCGTCGATTTTCGTCGAAAATCGCTAACAACATCATCGCACGGTTTGCGCGTTCGTGCCAAGCGCGAGAACGATTTGTGTCTCTTCTTTTTTTCCAGAAACTATTGATCTTAGGAGCGAGCACCAACAACGAGAAAGACCAATCAAAGGATCGTTATTAGAGGTGTCGGGAGGTTACCACGACTTTGCACGATCCGCACCGTTAAACTATGGTTGCGTAAGCTCGACTTATTCTTGGAGCCGGGCATTATATAATTTCCGTATCGCAATTTCGATTTATTCTTTTCTTAAATAGAAAATTTTATTTTTAACTAACAGCCAACTTTGCAATCCTATATTTAGGTTTGAACGCAACTTTTGTCTAAAGTAGATTTTACAATAATGAATGAAGAAAATCACAGTTGAAATTAGCTTCAGCAATTAATTACTTGCATTAATTATATGTGTGTAACATTGTTAATTATTTTTTAATTTAATTATCTTGTTTTTTTCTTTTTCTGAATTTCAGTGGTTTCGGCGTGAGCGTGTGTGGGCGTCATCACATATTCAAGCCAGTTTCTGTTCAGGCCATGTGGTAAGTGCATTTGGGGAAAAAACCCATTACATACTTTAATTTTTCTTAATGAGATCTGTTTGCTGTCGCACTCGTACACTAATATGCGAGAATCAGATATTCCTGCGAAGTGACGGGAATACAGTTTTCGAGCTTCCCGCATCCCGGGATGATTGCATGAAATTCAATTTCGGTGAGCGCGATTCGAATTCCGCGAATTACGTTTGCGATTGCTCACTAATGGCATAGTTTTGGTCCATAGACTATTCCCAGCTTGGGAATTAGATTAAGACATTCATTTATCAGTGGTGTTTGCATCAAAAACGTTATATAATCATTTAATTTAACTTTTAAGATGTTATTAAAGATTGATATGGGTTCTGAAAGTTTTTAGATGGATTGCTGTGTAAATAGTTGTTTATGGATGCGTGTTTATGTTATGAAGTACTTAATACCACCGGATCAAGAAACTTTGCGAACTTTCCTGCCTTTGATGTTAAGTTCGCAACTTTTGATGTTCTCAATACAAATGCGAGGTCTAGCATATTTGCGATATGTAATCTAGTCTACTCGCATTCGGAACAAACGGCTTTTCCGTCTGGCGCAGACCGGGTTCGTTCGCATTGTTGGATTGTCGCGAAGTTTGAAACAACATTGCAATCTGTTCGATATAAACAATACAGTAACTTGGTAAATGAGATAAATTCTGGAACTGCTGGTTTTCATATAAAATATTAATTACGTAACTTATTTGAGATATAGATTTTCTTTGCGCTGAAGAAGTAAAAAATGATTGATTTCTAGCAAATTGTTGTTACGTCTGGGTCGTGGTAAATATTTGAATCGTAAACTGCGTGCGCGTGTATTTTTTTTTCTTTATTGCCTCGTAAATTTCGTCTTCTAATTGAACGCTGTTTAGTCCACACTTGACCCATTTCGATTGTGCGTTCTTGGGACGAACAAATTACGCATATAATCGTAAAACTATTCTCGGTCTACTCGAAGGAAGGAAGATATGATGTTGAAGCAGTTGCATATAGAATTTAAGTTCGATTCGCGGTTCGCTCCAAATTGCGCCTCCTCCGACGTTTCCAACGAATTCTGCAATTTTACCTTGACTCGAAAATGCGAAAGGTAAGAATAGAATCGGTTGATCGTGAATACGGGGGAATATTCGACGTGCCACCATTTATAGCATATAGTCGTAGTGCGTGTGTGTGTATTGGTCAAAATAGAAAGTGCGATTTTAGGATTTTGCGCGAAAAATCAAGAAGGTTTTGTCGCGTTTTCCAAAAATCCTCCCATTCAGGTCCTTAAATGGAGACGCCGACAGCTCTCTCGTCTCTTCTCTCTCGCTCACTCAATCTATCTTCTTCTAGCACATGCACAAACGTACACACATGTGCGTGTGTGTATATATACGTACATACATATACACACGCAGTGCGAATGGGGGGCGTCGCGACGCCTTTTCTTATTATAGACATTGCGCGTCCGGGCCCTGGGACGGTAGCGCACGATGCGCCGCGTTTCCTCTTTGCCCATATTGTTATTATTATTATTGATGCCATTACAGATGATGCTTCCGTTAACGGCGTCATCATCGTCGTCTTTGGATTTGCGGATTCGCCTTTGTCGTATTTCCATCGTCCTCGTCGGTGTCCCGCGAAGGAAAGACTGACGTAAAACAGAGTCGACACGGTATCGTACATACACACGCATACCTCTTACTATATTTGGCCATGTTTCGTGCTTTGCCTTCTTTTACAAACGATCGTCGTCAGAAGAGCATTTTTTTCTTTCTTTATTTCATCCAATTTTTATATTACATTGAGTAAATCAGTTCGCAATTAAGAATGTTATTAATCAGAGACTTTGATTTTCCATTCATATTCTCAGTAATTATAGATTGGGAACGAATACTAGATTCACGTAATGAGAAAAAATAAATAAAACTGTAACTCATTTATAATGCGAATAAATTTGTGCGCTATGAAAACAGGAGGATTTCGGTGGTTTGGGATCCTTTCAAAATGGAAATTGCTCTGAAACTGAAAGATTCAGATCTATTATTTATGGTTCACGCCACAATTCCCTCTCCCAATTCATCTTGCTCTGCTGAGAATGGTTTTTGGGGGTGGTATCTTTTCTTTTCTTAAGAGGGTTGAATATCGTCTATCGTCTTCATTACCATTTTTTTTTTCTTGTTCATTGCTTGTCTTTCCTTGCCACAGCCTCGACCGGTAAATGTCCGAATATGGAAGCCGTTCTCCGAAGGCAGGACACTGTTGTTTTCGTTACCCACTCCTTCATCTACTCTATTACATACCATTTGATATTTTTCTGTTCTCCTCTTTTCTTCCTTCTCATTAAAATTTGCACAATCGTTTGGATTGTTCAGTATTGCGAGTGACGGTGTCCGGTGCGGATTAAAATCCGAACTGCATCAAAGATAATCGTTTCATTCCTCAGCTTGTTATGCGCGCAACAAGTTCATAACAGTTTTCGATGGAAGAAGTGTTTATTAATGTTTCGGGCATTGTCAGAAAATTTTTCGATTCTTTTGCGCGTTCGAGAGAGTTTTTCTATTTTCGTCGGTGCTCTTACGCTCGCTCCATACCTAATTAAGAGCCGCCGTTCGTTTTCTGTATATGTGTTTGTGTGTGTATGTATGGAGGTCTCTGGGTGTTGGTGTATTTGAGGAGGCCGATAAGATGGTCAGGTCTGTGTCTCTCTTTCGTTTTGATTGAGACCAGTCGGGAAAAGTTGCTCTCCCATGCATGATGCATATGCATCACATGACAAAACAACGTGTATTAACATATTGTGAAACGCACGAAACACTCTTTGTCCGTTCAGGAGGATCGAACCGATCGGGATTTAAGTGTGTGTTTGAGAACTCGATTTCCGTAATTCGCTCAACTTTTCGGTTCTTCGTGTAAAGCGAACGACCTGCAATGGTTGTGAATAGGAGATGCTCTTTACGAAAGTGGGACTCTGATAGGTAATTCATATATACGTATTAGTTAATTTACTTTTTTTTAACATCAACTATTATATTTTTACTTCAACTACTTATTTTTATTTAAGTAAAATAATTATTCGTAACTATTGTAAAGAGATATTGGTCATACATTGAAAATCATAGTACTAAGAAACTGACTATGGAAGAATAAATGCGGATGCGAAATGTGGACCTCCTCCTCTGATTGTTCAAACAATTGAGACATTGCAAAATCGCGTCGAACCTTGAATGATGTAGTTGTTGTTGTTTTTTTACGTGCATTTTATTGTCGATTGCTTTCTCTCTGCTCCTGTTTTGATCGTACCACGGTGTCTTTGTTTTTTGCTTTAGGTCAGCTCTGCAGACTTTGCATAAAGTGAGTTCCAAGGCGCGCGAACAGAACTACTTCCAAGGCGGCCTGACCCATTCGTGGGTGGGCTACTATGAGGATCGGATCAAATCCGAAAGATCCTGCCTCAACGAATGGAACGCGATGGATAATCTGGAGTCGCGACGGCCTCCGTCGCCGGATTCGGTGCGAACGAAGCCGACAGAACGCGAGGATACGAAGAGGGTGATCAGATCGACTCTGAAGGAGATCATGATGAGCGTGGACCTGGACGAGGTCACCAGCAAACACATCAGAAGCAGGCTAGAGGAGGACTTGAACATGGACCTCGGGGAGTTCAAGAGTTTCATCGATCAGGAGATGCTGACCATCTTAGGACAGATGGACGCGCCCACTGAAATTTTCGATCACGTCTATCTGGGCTCCGAATGGAACGCCTCTAATTACGAGGAGCTGCAGCGCAATGGGTGAGTATTGAAGACATCTTCTGAAAGGATGTGAAGCTAACGTTTTGTTGTTGTTGTTTTATCTCTGCAGAGTTGGACACATTCTGAACGTGACTCGTGAAATTGACAATTTCTTCCCCGGCACCTTCGACTACCTGAACATTCGCGTTTACGATGACGAGAAGACGGACTTGCTTAAATACTGGGACGACACCTTCAAATATATATCAAAGGCCAGGAAGAAGGGATCCAAGGTGTTGGTGCACTGCAAGATGGGTGTTAGCAGGTCTGCTTCGGTGGTGATAGCGTACGCGATGAAGGCCTACAATTTGAAATTTGACAAGGCCATGGAGTACGTGAAGGACAAGAGGAGCTGCATCAAGCCGAACACCAACTTCCTGTCTCAACTGGAAACGTACCAGGGTATCCTGGATGCCATGAAGAACAAAGAGAAGCTGCAGAGGTCAAAGTCGGAGACGAATCTGAAGTCGCCCGGTTTGGTGGCGAAGAACAATCGCATCTTGGCTGGAAGCGAGCCGACGCCGATTGTGCAGGCGAACGAGAACGGTTCGAGGATGGCAATGTCCGGTCAGGATCTGTGCAGACTGGGGGCACGACCGAAGTCTTGGTCACCGGATAACGCCGATACTAATGCCATAGTGAACGAGATTAAAACGAGTCCGTTCCGCTCTATGGAGAACCTCAACCAGAACTCTTCGTCCTCTCGCGAATCCTTGAGATCGACTCCGAAGAAAGCGGTGCTGCTGAAGGACCTAGCAAGGAACGTTCTCCTGCCATGTGATAACGGCGAGTCTTACAGTGTATCTCCGAACCAGATCATGCACATCGAGAACGAGAGCAGCCTGGCATCGGTGAAGGATCGAGTGACCGAGTTGGAGGCGAGAAAGAGGGACAAGAAGAAGCTGGTGTTGAATCTTCTGCCGCAGTTCGAATGCAGCAAAGCGGACGCAGGCAGAAAACTGGAACCGTGGGACCCGGGGGAGAGCAAAGTCTCCGGCAAGGACGATGATGGCGATAATGGTACAATTATTAATAACTGTGATTTAAAAACTAGTGCTAGTGATGAAGAAACTATACAGACAGTGGTAGTGGGTAGTACAGTTCCTGAAGTGCGGCTGCGAGGAAGGAGGTCGGGCAAGGACGGCGATCCGTTCTCGAACCAGGTGGATCGTGTCTTCGACAGAGAGGAAAGAAGGCAGCAGCGAGTTACCATAATTCCTGTGAGCGAAACGTCGGAGGATCAACGCGAGTGTCCTTCGCGTCAGAGCTCTTGGAGCTCCGTGGACAGTGCCGTCGTCCTGGGGTTTCAAGGGGAAACACGTGAGGCTCCCTCCAGGCACAGCAGCTGGGGCTCAGGGGACACCCGGATGTCTCGGAACAGTTCGTGGAGTTCGTACGATATGCGCGCAGTGAAAAATGATCTCAGCAATGATGGCAGAATGTTCGGCTTCGACAAGGAGATGCCCCTGTATCCGGGGACGGTGAGACGGACGAAGCAGAAGCTCGAGGAGAGCAGCGATGCGGCTGGTAAACTGAAGACCTCCAACGAGACGCTGCAGGAGTTCCCCGTAGAAGCCCTCAACACCGTTCTCATCGAGGGATCCTCCGTCGGTGTGAACATCGTAACAAGTGCCATAGCTAGGAAAGAAGACCCGGAGGCGCGGCTCTCCATGAGCGCTCCGGAGAGGTCCTCCTCGATGGATCTGCTGGCCAAGGACGACTCGGCCATCTCGCGGTCCGTCTCCGACATCAGTCCTAAAATCATATGCACAGCTCAGTGTTCATCGGTTAAACAGCACAAGACTTACTTAGAGAACATGCATAGAGACATGAACAAAAGGGACGACCCACTGGACCTGGAACCCAAGACGGGAATAGTGAAAAACCGCAAACTGGAGTTCGAGCGCGTGAACCAGATGAACAGGAACAACGCCGAAGAGGAGAGGAAGAACAAAATGAACAGTCTACCTTCATCACCTAGCGCCGGTCTGACGAACAGCAGCGACAAGGCGATATCTTCGTCCGATCTGAGAGAGGAGAAGAACTTTCAGGAGTTGCTCGGCAAGTTCCAGAATCATCCGGACAACCAGATCAATGTGAAGACGTACAAGACCACGAAATATACGACGCCTCTAATCTCGACGTTCGACAAGAGCATAGACGGCGCCGTGAAGAGACCGCCGATGGCTCCGGTCGTCAAATCACCGTCTCCGAACGTCGTCGCTTTCGCCAAGGCGGTCACCAAGAAGCAGCAGCAGTACGGCAAAACTCACCCATTGGCGATGATAAACATCAACGCAAAGAACAACCCTGTCTACAATACCATGTAGTGCTCAAATTCTTCAAAAAGGCTGTGACTAAATTTTTATTTTCAACAAAATGAAACAAACAACACGCAGGGCCACAAAAATTTAAATGCAAATCGTGAAAGTATTAAAAAAAGCAAAAACAAACAGAATGTGTCTTTCTCTCTCGCATATTACGCATATAATTTGTTTGCGCCTTCAGATACTTTTTCAATTAATTTCCCTTCTCTCTCTCTTTTTTTTATTATTATTATTTTCTCTTTAGTAATAACATATCGAAATTAATTGAATAAAAAACATATGCATCATCACCTACACCCCCTTAAATGTATTGTTCTTATTTTTTTTTCTCGTGTATTATTATAATTATTATGTTTTTTTTTTGTATGTAATTTATAATTTCGTTTCTATAATGTGTACAAGAAGAAAGAGAAAACAAACTAAGCAACAACAAACAAACAAAAGAAGTAAAAATCTAGTCGATCGTGAGGGTACGCTCATGAAAATTTAACGAAGAACGTGAAATCACTTTCCTTTTTACATGTAAATACAAATTTCGATTATCTCTATATTATGATTGGTGTTTTTTTCAAGGAACAAACAATTAATGAACAAACAAAAAAAAAGTAATAATAAATGAGACAACAACCTATATAATGAGAATGATTTTTGTTCGGCTTCGATGTTTAATGTACAAAACAAACAGAATTTAAGTAATTAAAATAAGGAAATCTTATCCGCTGAGAACTTCTCTTCTCTTCCTTCGCAAAAAAGAAAACGAAGATCTGGAGGGCCGAGAGACTGCAATGAAAATCTCGGACGACAGCAGAAACCGACAGATCTTGGCTGTTTCATTTAATTATTTTTTTTAACAATCCTTAAGGGATGTTGACACGATTTTTCTCTCCATTATTATTTTTTTTTTCTATCTTACCCACTATCTCTTGTACATTTTTGTTTCTCTCTCTTTCTCTACTCTCTCTACTTCAACTAAAGATGCTATCTTCTTGCTTACGTGTGATAGATAATAAGAATTTTTGTACTATAGTGTATAAAACAAAGTAATTAAAAAGAAAAATAAGCAGAAAAGGAATAAACAAGAGCTGTATTAATGGAGCAAAAATTAAAATTAAAATACTTTTTTTCTTTTCTTTTCGATTGTATAAAAAAAAGTAAAGATAAATAAAGAATATGATGCAAACACAAGCACACACTCCAGACACACGAATTTGATGTGTACGTACTGAAGAGTACATTCTTTCTCGTCCCTTTCATCCTCCTCGAAACTCATCATTTCGGTTTCATCTCGTATATTCTCCTTCCGGCGGCGAACACGTATTTCGGAATGTTCGTTCCATCCAAAGGTCCTAAGGTGATGTTCGTCGGTGCTTTGAACATTCCTGCGGTGAGCGCAACATTCTGAAACAATCTTAACAATTAAAGACGTTTTCCTTAAACACGAGGTAAGTGAAATTGAGTGTAATTAAGATGCGCACCTCGTACTTGGTCATGTCGACAATCCTAATGAAATTGGGCTCTCCGCCACCGCAAATCACGTGTGTTTTTGTAATATACTTGCCGCACGTAAGCTGCGAAGTAAAAGAGTGTTATCGTCGAAGTATTAGGTTGAATAACTAACCGGAATATTCTTGTATTTGTCCGTCTCGATGATTTTAATTTCCTTCCCGTTCCGATAATCCCACAGCCTCAATGGTTTGTCCTTCTGATAGCCACATGTTATAAACTAGAATTAATTAATCGTTGTAATCTCGATTTTCGAGTAAAGCAAATTATGGTAGTCTACCTCTGTGGCGTTCGGACTGAAGTATAAACCATCACCGACGATAGTAATACCTTGGATATTCCTGATGGCATGAGGTTGTCTGGTGTCCCAGAACTGGATGGTACCATCCATACCACCTGAGATGATCTCGTTAACTTGTCTTGGATGGAAACAAGCCGTAGTTACGGTGTCTCTGTGACCATCAGTTGCATTCATATCATCGCTGCAATAAATTAATCCTATAAATAAATCAACTTCCGAATGTTTCGATAAAATTTACGAAGCAGATAGAACCCTCTCCTGACGCTTACTATCCTCGTCGTACATGTAAATCTTCTTGTTGTCCCCGACGGTTATGAATTTAGCGAGCTTCGGATGATAGTAAACGCCGCACGTCTTCCTCTGCTCCTGCAGAGTGAAAGCGCACTCTTGAAAGTTATAATTCCAACCCTTGATCAAACCGGATGAATCTGCAATAACCAAAAGCTTTAAATCCAAACACGTTCTCTCATATAGATTTTTATAACATGTCGTGATCATTATATTCGTGATGGGGTAGTTCTTGGAGACGGGACGATGCCGGATGCATGTGACCTTTATTTGATTGTTGATATCCTTATCCTTCAGCTCGATCATGCATTTGTTGTCTTTGAAAGCCCTAACCATGCCGTCGGCGAAGCCGGCCATAAGGTATTCGTGCAGTTCCGTGTAGTGGACGAAGGTGACTTCATCGGGGCATTCGCTGGAATCGAATATTGGTGATGATCAGTTGAAATTGATGTGAATAATATTAGTCTTTACAATATCTTCACTTTCCATGGGCCCTGGACGTTGAGCTGTTCTTGGACGTAGGCCGCTTTGTACCCTGCGGTCGTCGTCATACTGAGAATTTTGAATTTTCCTCAAGAAATACTAAAATTTTGACATTGCTCTGACGGATGCTCACGAAATCATCACGTCTATCATTACGTGACACCTGTACCATTTCAGAATTAAATACAGTGAGCTTTTGTAACAAACAACTAATTTTATAGAATATATAGTAAATGTAACTGTTTAATCGAAAATATCGGTTATTAATTATATAAATTGTATATACATTTTAATAATTACTCAGTTTTGATTGCTTACTACAATAAAATGATGATAAACGCTACAAATTGAGAAAATCGATACAACGCGAAGACAATGTAAAACATTGTTTAAAAAGATTATATTAATAGAAAATACAAAAATACGGTAATTGCGAAACGAAGCAACACCGACAGACAAAATTGAAACGAAATTATGTACATAGTTTAAGAAACAGTAATGAAAATCTTTATAATATTTCCGCGCTACTGAGAGAATGCGGAGTCGGGCTTGGCGTTGAGCTGACCGAGCTCAAAGTCTCTTCCTCTTTAACCTTGATTTTGTTGGGATCCTTGTCCTTCTCCTTCTTCTCCTTGTGCTTATGCTCGTGCTTGTGTTTGTGCTTATGCTTGTGTTTCTTCTTGTCCTTCTTCTTCTTCTTGACTTTAGTGGGATCGGCGGATTTGTGTTTGCTGCCGCCGTCCTCCTTCTTGAACATGCCGGGTTCGAATCCAACCGGACCTCCTTGTCCCATAAGACCAGGCAGCGATACCGAATTATCGGAATAGTATTCCTGCTTGACGGATTTGAAGAACTCCATTTTAGGTTCGGCGGAGAAAAGATCTTCCTCCTTGATGGCGGGTTCCTTCGCGATGTCCATTTCCATCTCCTCTGGGATGGGATCAGGTTGATGATGTTTCGGTGGAGGCGGAAGAGGCGACATCGTTCGCTTCTCGTTGAAGTGACTCTTCCTCCTGTCCTCTTCCTTCTGCGGCTTTAGAAGACCAGCTAGCTCAGCTACAGGCACGCAAAACGGTCTTCTGCTTCCGTACAGTTTGTAATAGAGATCGACTAAATCGCAGCGAAGCCTAGTGTCGTGCGATAACATTCCGCTAAAATAAATTTAATTAATTTAAGAACTATTTAAAAACGAACAAGATTTTACTTGATGTTCATCCAAATGCGATCGACCAAATCAGGAACATCCAATCTGTGTCGATGAGCTCTGTCGAACGGTGGATTCATTATGAGCAGTTTGACAAGTTTGTGTCTCAGACCAGGATCGGGATCGTTTTCTACCAAATCCAAGATGTTCTGCAGATCCTGCCATTTGCCGTCCACTCTAACGAAATCAACCAGACATTCCAATGCGGCCAATCTAACATCTAAAGTGCAAACAGAGAAAAAAATAATAATGATCGATTGTACGAATGTAAACGTGTTACCAATAAATAGTCCGTACGCCGCATAGCTTTTGAAAAGCGTTGGACTGCTCGGCAAATGTCCAAACTTCTGCAACTTCCTGATGGCCTTCAGACAGGCCACAGTCACAGTATACTTGTAGCAGGGCAGCGACTTCTCCAGATTCAAAATGCGTGTAATTTCCTCCAGCACCAGTTTAGTATCGGTGCTGAGACTTTCGAATGTGATGTTCCCCTTCTGAAGTGCTACGACAGGTGTAACGGTGCAGCCGAGCGCCTCCACCAGACACGCTCTGTAATAGTTGTCCGAATACCGGTTCTTCGTGTTGTCGTTGTATTTGAACAAATCGAGAAGAAAACGAATCACCTCCGGCGGACAAATGCCGTGGACGTTCCGAAGACCGGCCATAGCTACGGGGATGGTCTTCTGGATGAAGTAGTGCTGGAAGTTCTGGAAGGAATTTTGCCGGATGATGTGCGGCGCTGCGAAAGAGCCGAACAATTTACGGAATATGGCGAGCATTGCCGGTGGCCCAGCCCAAGTGATCATAGCGTTTGCTACCTAGAATGTTATAGCTTAAAGTGTTAGTAATTGAATTACTAAGTTAACGAAAGATATTTCTGAAATTCATAATCAGGAACCTAAATACGTTATTGATTATTTGATTTGAAATTTCAAATATATCTTGAATAGATTTGTGGTTAATTACTTTTGTTAGGCAATGTGCGGCTTTGCAGCGAACTTTAAAGAAACACTGCTCGTTCTCTATGGTGTCAGTGAGTGCTAATCTGGTGGCAGGCGTAGGGTAACGCTCCAAAGCCAAAATCGCCTCCATTTGGGCAGTGACATCACGCTCATGACGCAATTGGTATTGCCACTGGTAATCTGGTTGCTCGATAACGACTGAACGCAAAAGCGTCATTTCTGGATCGAGTCTTATCCAAAGTACCGGAGAATCGCTGCATAAGAAAATTGAAGAGTTGATAAGTTTTGTGTTGATGATAATTACAAATTATGTGAATATTTTGGAAAGTCTTACTCCATAGCGCTCAAGTCCATGTCGACTTCTTCACCGGTACAAAGCGGAATCTTCTTTTTCTTGTTTCTTCTGCTCTTCGAGTGGCATGTGATGTCAGATTTAACTACAGTGTTCTCGATTTGCAAGTTATGCTTGAAAGTACCGTCGAGTTCCTGCAAAGTAACCAGCAGTGGACCCACGTACTTTTTAATGCCGATCTGTGTCGTCGCGTCTTGTCTGATCTCCAATTCAATCGTATTTCTATATAATAGATATGTATATAAAATGAATGATTTTGTTTTGTAATAAAGAGGTTTTACCTTTTTCGATTGAATACAGATGTAAGGTGGAACTTGGCGTGGCCGCCCGTTCTTACCCATTGGTCAATGAACACCTTCATATCTTTGCCTGTCACAGTAAAAATTGCTTTCGAAAAAACGTTGGTGCTGATCAACATGTGACCCCACAGGCCGCTCCCGATTTTCTGACCGGACGCATTCGACGCCAAAGAAAGTTGCTTGTTGAAGACTTGCAAGAGCAGCTCTAAACCAATTCTGTGTTCGAGCATTCGCATCACCAGCAGAGACTTCTTGTGCAGCACCTCGATGTACGTGGGTGACATCGTGTGCAGGTTCTTGATAGAGAAGTAGAAGTTAGTCTCGACTTGCTGAGCGTGGCTGCTGCTGCCGGGTGCGCTGCCCGAAGACGGGAGCGGCGCTGGAGGTTGACTTGGATCTAAAACTATGCCACCAAATTCCTCTTCATACTTGACAACTTCCATCAAAGTTGTCCGTACGAAGTCTCGGTATTCGTTGTTACCAAAGCATTTCTTCGCGTATAACCCGCAAAGATACTGGCTTATACCTTTGGGCAGCCACATGTCCGACCAATTCTGCATGGAAATGAAGCATCCGAAAAACTGCTCAGCTATGGCCTGAGCCATCGCCCTCCGCGTCGCGTAAACTTGATCGATGATAACAGCTGAATGAAGAAGATTAGTGTTCAAGATGCTCATAGTTGCGTAAGACGCGTAATCCTCGTCAACCTCATCCACAAATACTTGCTTGTAACATGAATAGGGGTAACGATTCGCTAAAGTTTCTTCATAAAATTCGAACGCTTCGTGCATGAAAGTGGTCGTCGTCTTAAGCAACGGCAGCAACTGAGGCAAACAAAAATGTGTAACCTCATGCATGTAAGGATCAACGTAGATCTCGAACGGTCCCACAGCGAGTGATATGTTTGGAGCACAAGTGGGTATAGTTAGCGAATAATGAAACGTTTTCCTTCTCATGTCCGGCGTGAAGACGACCTCGGTCAAGTCACCATTAGACACCGCAGTCATATTTTCGTCGACAGTGAACTCCAGCTTCCAGGTACAAGGCTCGGCGTAACTATCCACACAAGGAAACCAGAGTCTCGAAGAATTCTGATGTCCATAAGTGTACAAATGCACACCCCTCTTTAAAAACAATTACATTTTTACATTTCCATCGACATCACTTGATCAATTGATTACCTCAGCTGGTGTTCCATCTCCTGGATGTACAACAAAGTGAATACCACCTTGAGGCTGTTCCAAAGAAAATTCAATACCCACCCTCAACGCTGTACCTTCAGCAATCAGATGGGCAGCCTCACTTGGTATAGTCACCACAAGTTCTCCAGCACTATTATCTGGATCAACTTTCAATGCAGCCGCTAAATGATGTGTATTGAAAGATTCCAACGCTCGACTACACACAACCATTTTTTTTTCAATTAAATCAATTACATTACAACGAAAACAATTAACTCACGTATTCGCATCACCTTGGCATATATCTAAGAATGGATCAAAGTATTGGAAGTGAGCTTCATAAGTTTCATTCAAACTAACTCTGTAGATCCGACACTGTTTTGCATTCAGTTTGATGTGTCTAAGGCTATCACGCAATGGTACTACTGTTAATTCAACAAAACCCTAAAATTACAGCAATTACAAGTTTTATCCATCTCGGCCAATAACAGCCACTTACTATTATACTTTTCCTTTCAAAACTGATACCAGTCAAACTAAGTATTTGATGGGCTGTAATGGGGGAAGAAAAATGAAAATTAACAAATATGTTCTTAACGCAACGAAAATTGGATACTTATAGTTTGTACGGTCTGCAATTATCCGCCGTTCGTTCCTTCCTCATCTTGATGAGAATTTATCTTAACTTATTTCAACGACAATACATTTCTAACCTTTACATTTGTTTTTGTATTGAAACCGAGCGAAACACAAGATGAACAAACAATGCGCTAACTTCACGCCAAAAACAATTAAACTTATATGCCACCAAACCTACTCCTAAGTAAAGCATGATTGCCTATCATTAATTATTATCTGATTTAATTATCTAATAGGAATTAGTACTGAATAAGTGGACTTTAAAAATAGTACCAATTATATTATCATTATAAAGCTTTAGAAGAAACATTACTTTTGTAAGTATTAATTAATAATTAACTCTTTTATACAAAAAATCTAATTATCTTAATATTTTTATAGGATTTAATATGCCGAATTTGAAAAGTTAATTAAACTTTAATTAATAATTGCTATTTTCTTATTACAGTCAAGCATAATAATTAAAACTGTTAAAAAAAAAACTTTTTGAAAACTTCCATATAGTTTGAAAGTCTATTTCTTTAAAAAAAAAACTATACTTAAAGCTAGGCGTAAGTATGATTTTATAACTAGATTTAAAGTAGAAACTTGTACGAATATAGTGTAATGTTTTATTTAAGTAAATATTTATGAAAGTACAAATGATTGATGATCTAACATGTACTTATCATTAAATAAGCTAATGTTAGTGGAATGAAATGTTTTTGCGAACGTTTCGCAATAGTAACCGCCGCGATTACGTAAACACGAATGTGAAAGGGGTGAAACCGTTGTGTAAATTCGACAAAGCAATTCGATATTTGCTTCTGAGCTCATCAATTTGTGGCGAGACGATGGAATACGCAGAAATTTGCTTAATATTTTGATTATGTAATAAGATCAATTGAGAAATTCTAATAGAGACGTGTTTATATGCGCAATTTGCATCCAAATAAGTAAAGTTGTTTTTCCATAAATAGTTAATTGATTGATTAAGATTAATTACGTTTTATTTGAATGCATAAATAAATTAAGTGATTTTACAATTTTAAGAATCACTAATTAATTTATTATCTTTCTTTATTTACTACAAACAAACAATATATTGTAGTAAATTATGTTAAAAATAATAATATAAATATGAATATTGTAATTATAATTATCAATTAAATCTATCGTTATTTATTGTACTCTTGTCGAAGACTTCAAGCGTAAAACATTTCTTTTATTTGCTTTTCTAAAGTGGACACACTCGAGAAGTTGTCGTTATGCAAACACACTTTGTCTTGTTTAAAAATCAAGTTATCAATTGATACTAAGTAAATAGATTTTTAACTGTTACTTTTTACGCTTGAATAAACGTAAATTGTTTTAGGACTTCGATTTTGAGATGAGTTACATGGACATAAATTCGCACATGTTCGATGACCAGTTGGAACAGAAACCTTTTGTACAGACTATGTAAATTCAAGAAGTACTGCGGATGCTGATGGTAGGATTTATCCATTTCTTCTTTAGCTGAAAGTTTGTATTTGTTCGTAATTGCATAACAACAGGATGAAGCTCATAATTTAATGATTATCTTTGGAGTGAAAGGAGGAGTGAAAAAAGGAAGTTGCAAAATCATCGGCGTTAATTTCTGTTGGGCGGCGAAGAAGGAGGAAGGTAAAAGGTTCGGTGATGCGAGGGTCCGCAAACAAAGACACCTGCGAGGATTGACAGGTAAGTGAAATTGGAACTTGTCGTTTTTTTTTGTGTGTCTTTAACGTTATTTATGTTATTTTTAAGGGGGCTGCTCTTGCAGTACCCGAATCGTTCGGCGTTTCCTCATGGCACACACGTAACTGGCCGAGCGTGCAGAGTTGGTTCTTCGGGTGGGGACGTAGGAGGGTGGTACCCAAGTTGAAGGCAGCAACCAGTCGTTCGAATATGGTCAAAACACGATCTGGAAGTAGTGTTCGTCGCGTGTTGCTCGCGCGAGGTCGCATCCGATAGAGAAACCAGAAAGCACAACACAACACCGGTTTGTTTACAAAACGTCGAAGAGGTTTTTCTCGAACTAGATTTTAGAGGAAAGTAATAGGGATAAAGAGAGAGAGAGACAGCGCTTGTGTTTGTGTGTGTATTATGAGAGGTACTCCTTCTGCCAGATGTCGGAATACGGCGACGTCGGCGGCAAGGAGAAAATGAGTCCGAAATTGAGACGTTTCTTGCAGACACTTCTTGTTGTGATCCTCGCCTGTTATACAACGCTGCTCGCCTACCAATCACTCTCACGTGTTGGGACACCGTCCGTCCGGATCGCCGAAGACGTAAGTAGCCACGTTCCGCGCATTCCGCGCTCGCCCGAAATTAAGTCGAAACGAATAACTCGCATTTCCTTCGCAGGCGGCCGCAAGCGAGAAGCTAATCAAAGATTACAACAGCAACAACAACAACTATTTGCCTTTGGTGCGCGCCGACGACGGCATACCTCGAGATCCGGACTTCACCAGCGAAATACCGTCGGCCACCGCCACCGTCAAACCACCCACAACAACCCTCGAGGATCTCTTCATTAGCGTCAAGACCACCAAGCATTACCATCAGAGCAGGTTGCTCATCATCCTCAAGACGTGGTTCCAATTGGCCAAAGCTCAGGTACTACTCGCTTCTCGCACGCTTCAACCTTGGCGCCAAAAAACGCTTCAGCTAACTACTAAATATACAAAACAGCATCCGAAGATAATCATTAGTATTGCCAGTAGCAATGATTACGAAGAACCCAAAATTTACTACAACTTTAAGTAAACTATCCTAAATACATATTACTGTTGATAAATTTTCAACAAACATTCGAAACTAATTAAAACAAACAAAACTAAAATACAAAAGTTATAAACTTAAATTGTTTTAAAACTAATTTTTCAAATTTGATTCAATCAACAATTACTTAACAGTAAGTGAAGTCAGAAAAAAAGTATTTTGGAATTCACTTGACTTCTGTTTCCATTACATCTTTCTTTCTTTTTTGTTCACTATTATTTAACAGTGAACATGTAATGGGTCTGTTCAGGTACAATGGGCATTGTGTGTGCATTGCATAAAAGGGGTGCACATTTTTCCCATGGGGTTTTTGTTGAAAAAAGACCAGACACGAGCTACGCATGCGACCTCCAACTTACCGCCACCCTCCTATTAGCAAGTATAATACGAATGCCCCCGAAAACAACCCTAATTGATTTCCCTGCACGAAACGTAAACATCCCATAAACATATATTTCTGACACAATCATAAGTGTTTATTATATACATTTTTTTGCTTGATTCGATCGCATGACCACACTGTGTAATTAAATAGTGCAAGTTTTCAATAATTGCATATGGAACACTTTCTTACAAACGATCATTTTATTATATAAACCGGATTATGTACAAAATGTATGTAAAATGATACAACTAAATTTATAATTTGTTCTTAAACACGTTTTGCTTAATTGTTAAAAGTTTATTTACTTAATAATTCGTATTACCGTTACTTCTATAAAAAAGTTTTTGAAATGTCGTTGAAATATGTTCAAATCTTTAAGTATAATAGATATCCAACAATACTTAATGCTGTTGTTTTCGTCATTATAACGTAACATGCTTAACTTTGTACCCTGTTATAAAAATATTGTGTACTTGAAACATTTACTTGGAAAACAACAAGTAAATCATTATGATCATTCACAAGGGGGGAAGTCGTTTGACTTTTAATTGTGTGTTGATCTGAACGGATTTCTGCTGATTCCCACGAGGATATCCGAAGAGGACACGCGTCCCGCATGCGACCAAAAAAACAAGCCGCAAATCTGCAATAAATATAATGTGAAAATCGGCGGGAATCATCATCATTCTCCCACGGTCCCAAAGAAGGGGGAGAGTTATCAATCGTCCTTTCAGTACAATATTGTGTGTGTGTGTGTTTTTTTTTTACGTTTCCTTACGATGAACACACGAGATATTTATTTTATGCACCCGCGTATCGAATGCCAAATGTTGACACAGACTCGCAAGATAAATAACACAATGGTCGGTTTTATTATTTCTGCCCGCGCGTGCAAACACAAACGCATCGAAATCCCGAAACAGGCAAACACGAGGACCGCAACGAAGAGCGTAAATAAAACGCAAAGGAATACGCAATAAACCCCAAAGAAGGAATGGAATGGGAGCAGCGCAATTAAAATTTATATTTCTTTCTTTATTACTTTCTTGCTTTAATGCAAAGAGAAGAGAATGAAGCTCAGAGGATGTCCCGATTTATTCCACTTTTCCTTCTTGCGCCTTCAAAAATGCAGTCAAAACGCCGACACGATACTAGTTTTATTCTCGCGAATTACGTCTTTCTTACAACAACTTTCCTTAAAGTGCATTTACAAAAAACAATTTTTTACTCATTACGAAATACTTGAGATTTTCCAATTCATATTTCTTTCTGTACGCAAGCAATAATTGCATTAATTACATGACTGAAATGAATATCTTAATAAGAAAAAAGAAAGATACTTTGGAAAATTTCCTTAAGAATTCTACACTCTTTTTGTGTGCGTGTGTGGGAAAACTGCATTAGAATTTTCTTGTTGTTGTCTGAAGAGTTATTTTCTATTACTATTTCCATATGCAATCGAAACAATATTCAATACGTTCGATGTTGGTATTCGCAAATTCTATATGTTCTCTATTAAATGATGCAAATTAAAATTGTTGCAAAGTGAGCAATTTGATGGAAGCCCGGAGGGCCGAGAGGAATTCATATTAGGAATTTCCATTGCTTTCCAGTTTGAAAATGCAATGTGCGGAGGAGTAATGAAATTGTTGAGAAGTTTATCAATTACAATAGATTCGTTACAATATTGTCATTGTTTCATATATATATAAAAAAAATAATAATTTAGTTATAAATCTTCAAAAATTAATGTAATTTCATCCCACTGCATTAGTAATTGAGTGAATCTGAATGAATTTATTCAATTCATCTTACGTTATTGATTCGACGGCAAGAAACTTCGCGCTCACTTCCTGTATATTGAAAATAAACTAAGTTTTCAAATTGCTCTTATTTTGTTCACTAAATCTATTATTAAATTAATATATTTTTTATATTAATAATACGTTCGCAATGTTATTAATCTATGGTTAATGGAAATTCGGAGCTTTGAGCGCAGCGAGGGATGAAATAATCTTTTTGAAGATTTCCGTGCAGATTAATTCGAAACTCCACGGTTTTCAGCATCATTTTTTTTACGTTTTGTAACGTGAAACGCGCGCTTTTTACCCTGCTTAAGTTATTAATTTCATCAAAGGGGAAACATTGTTACAACATCCACCCTATTTCTTCGTCTCAGGAAGAGCGCCACATTTGTAATCCATATGCTCAAGTACGAGGTGAAAAAAAACGGGTAAAAAGAGTTTATTATACTCGTCTAAGAGCTTATTGAATGAAAGCCATGAGAACTTCTTAAACCGAAAAGGGTTCCGACTTACGAACGTTCCCATCCATCTTTTTTTGTCTTCTGTATATAAACCCGAGTGAGTTATTAATAACAAAAATCTCCCTACTGTATCTATCCTTCTGTCGCGTTCATTAGATTTTCTGGATTAGTGTTAGTTTTTTTTTTTTATCTGGGTTAAGCCGCAATTAAAACGATCGCCGAATTAACGAGGAAGCGACCTCGGCCAATTTAAATTAAAGTTCCCATCCACTTCTCAATTTAAATATACGCGCGCGCCGTTCCATTATTTTCAATTCATCTCTTTCCAGCTTGATTGATAACTCTATATATTAATTGCGTGGAAAAAAAGGTTACGTAAAGACAAAGAGAAAAACTGATGGTAATTTGATACACCCTTAGAGAGACACTTCCTCGAACTTTTTTTTTCTTCACTCATTCTTATGTGAGAGTGCCCCCATGTGCGTACTATATTTAATATTTGGCCATATCGAATTTCAGAGCAGAAAGAAAGCGATCGTTTATAGTCTTTTTTTTTCTTCTTTCTTCTCTACTCCAAGAGGAAAACCAAACGTGCTTTCAAACACAATTCTTCCCAATAATACTTGTTCAAAAGATCATAGTTTTGTCTTTAATATGCATATTTAACAATATAATTAACATGCGTGGTTATTGAGTAATTAAATTAAAAGATGTAACATAATTAACATTAGGTTGCATAAAAAGTTTGTCAACTCCCATGTAAATTTCATTGGCAGTTGTTTGCCCATTTTCTATTGGTTTATATTTGGATAGAGAGTTAACAAAAAAAAGTTTTGTGGGCCGACCCGAACAATAGAACCAATAAAATTTGTTAAGAACGTGAAAAAAAAGCTGCTTTTTGTCTATCCTTCGTTCAGCGATTCGCAGCTGCAAATGCGTTTTTATTACTTTCTTATCTTAGTGTTGGAAACTCCTTTTTTCATGGTTTAAACGTTCAAATCAACTCTGATTGGCGTAGCTTCTGCTTAGTGTATTGAAGAAGTGCGTGTGCAATAGTTTATGTAACATGTAACGCTTTGAATATTTGGTGTTTCTAATAAAGGAATTCTCCAAAATCATAACAATTAATTTCTTCTTTTCTCTTCCAGACATGGTTCTTCACGGACAGCGAGGATCCGGAATTCCAGAAGAAAACGAGTAAGTAAAAAAAGAGAAATATATTTATACAAAAGGAAAGAAAGTCCTTCGTTACAACTTAATCACTTTAGAGTGGAGAGAGCCGAAAATAAATGTAAACTAGTTTTCGCCTTTTGGCTTCCTTCCTGGGAAAAAAAGAGAACTTTACCGTGTCTTTGACACCTTTAGAAACTCGACGAGTCGTAAATCGTAGCTTTATGATTCCGCTTTGATACTGAAATATGTTGTGGTGATTATTACATGGAAAGATTTAAATACCTCGAAAGTCCTTTCAACATTTTTATATATATATATATAATTTTATTATTGACGATTCTTGAGGTGTAGAATGTGAAAACGATGCTTTAATGAAATTAATGTTTTTTTTAAATCTTAATTAGTAAAAACATTAGTTTGAAAGTATTTGAAGAATTACGTTTTTATTGCTTTATTATTAACACTATGTCCATATCCATTTTATAACTAATCGAGAGACCTACGTGTTATTAGAGGCTTCCCGCAGTTGCCATAGTAATCCCCATAGCAATTAACGAATGCAAATGATCGGCAAACGTTGATGAATCTGATCGGAAAACAGCACGAGCGGAGGACGCGCCGCACCGAATCCACTCTTCCTTCTGTACTGAACGCGTTTAAATAATAAACAAGCTTATTAAGCTTTAGAGCGGTGGATTTAGTTTGCCGTGTGCATACGTAATTTTGGGATAAAATTCGCCTGCGTCCGTCCGGTGTGCGTTAAAGTGGCCGGCAATTAACCGGAAACGCAAACAGTCATTATGCAAACACGCATGCATGAACGTTATTTCTTTGCACACATCGATGAATGCGCCCCCCACAATCCAGTCTGTTGTTACTGCATCAGGTATTGTTGTATCCAAAGAGAGCGTTAAATGCAAATGTCCCGATGGTCAGCAGAGCGAAACTCTGAAGGGATGTTCCGCAACGTTTGCCTTCGAATACGAAAACCGGAAGTTGCGCGTTTCGAACGAAGATCTCGTTGCTTTTAACATGCGGAGCAGGGCAGGATCACCTGGCAGGATGCGAGCCAATTAAAAATTATCCGAGAAGCGTAAAACGCGATCTTCGCTGCACTTTTACTGTTAACCAGCAAAGGAAAGAAGAAAATATGATTATATACGAACTAGTATTATCCTCGTCCATCATCATCATCATCATTTTAACGCGCCACAAAACGAGCATCGCGACGATCTAATAAGAAATATACAGTTCATCTTATTAGAATAAATTTGATGATTTTATTATGTTGCCGTTTCCTTTTCAACTTCCTCCACCTTTACACCAATCATTACGACTAATTACAGGTGCAGCGCGCTAATTGCGGCGGCAAAACAACATCGATAAATCATGAAGAAAAAAAAGAATCGTTATATTATAATGGTTATATACGATATAAAAACATTTTATGCACTCGAATCATCATAAACCCTGTAATTATGCTAATCGAACTTTATTTGGTAGTAAATTCTGTTATTAAACTACATATTTTTTACTACATTTCATTTTTTTTATTACCGACGATTCGAAACTACCTTTACCTTTCTTTTTATTACACATTAATTTGGCAGAGAAAATAATGAACAGTGCACGGTTTTAATGTAATTCTCTTACGAACATGCGGGTTCCTCCACTAATAGATATTTATTGCTTTATAAGAAAGTTCTCTTCTCTTCTCTTTCATTTTGTTTTTTATTATTATTTGCTCCCCTTTTATCCGCGTGCACATAACCCGCATCTCAGGTGGTTCTGCAACGAGAAATTAATGAATACGCGTTTCGTAAAGAGTCCAAATAAAAGTATTTTTCCTTTTATTAAACGGCTTTATATTCCTCCTCCTTTTCAATCCGATCTTTTTCCAGACTCCTTTAATTATTTTTCTTATGCTGCACACGCACATCTTGCATACAATAATAATATTTACGTTCCAGTTTTAATTTTCTTTTTTTTCTTCTTCACAATTTTCACATAAAAATTTAATAACATAAGCTTGATTTATATTAGTTTTTTTACATTCATTTACAAATCTTAATTTATAATATTGAGACTGTTATGTAAGAATGAATTAAGAGCGTTTCTCGAAAAGAAACGTTTATGCATCTATACGAAGTCCTGACACGTACAATTCAACAGGTTTCGAGCGAATATTCTCTTGCAAATAGATTTCTGTTAGAACGATTTCAATATCACCTCCAAATTATTTATGACTAGAAGCTGAATTGCTAAATTTATAGTTACGTAATTTTAGGAGAGGAAACGAAAATTTACGTAAGATCGATACATTTTCCCACAATAATTATGTTGATGAAATAGATTTGACAGTATAATTAAATCAATTAAACAATTTTATCTAATTTTCATCAAAAAAATGATATAAAAACAATTCTATTAAGCATCGATTGTATGTTTTATGTCTGTAATGGTAATAGTTAATAGTTATTAGAATTTAAATAGTAATTTGCTTGGATGATCAGAACTTCTGTATCGTTTTACATAGTTAATTACCATTTTAAACGAATACGTGGAACTGAAATGGATACGGATTCCATTAATAATCGCCGCTTAACTACGAACCAGAATACCAGAATTGCCTAGCAACGTAACATTTTTTGTTGTTTGTTATTCTTGTATTAATCACGTTTTCTTCGGTAGGAAGCGTATTTATTATCATCCGAACACGCTTTATTGAATAATGCAAATCGCATAACCGTATATTATATAATCCACGAGCACGCATTCCTGTTTTTTTTCTCTCTCTTTCTCTCCGGATAAATCTGTTTACATTTTCCTACGCGTCGCTGCAATTAAAGTTGCACATCCTGGTTTCATTTAGGCAACACAACAATCGCCCGACGATTAATTGCTCGATTGATTATGCAACAGGCGACTATGATTGATCTAGCGCACGAATCGCTCTTAAGGTCTGATTATTAATCGAATCGATCGGCGAAATGAAACAGTTTTTGCATTCCGACTGTGATTCTTAAATTCATCCAATTTGATTGATTATCATATAATTTGTAACAATTAACATAATATTAAGTGATGCAGAAGAATTTCGTTTATTAATATTATAAAACGTTTGAAATGTAAAGACGGACGTAATTGAAGAAAGTTATATAGAAATTCGATTTAATAAAGTTGCGATTCTCCTGTGTAACGGGAATAATCTGCAAAGGTTGTGAAAGCTTAGGGCAAACAGAAAAAAAGAACGAATTGTTTGCAGACGGAGACAAGCAAAAAGAAGTTTGCAAGGAGAGAGAAAAAAAAATAGAGTTCTCTTAGGGGAGGATATTTAAATTAAGCGCTCGAAGGATCTAATAGACTTTAGAACGATCCCCGAACTAACTAACTAACATCCTTTTATTTTGATAAAGTCCGTGATTTAGATCACTTTCGGATCGTCTCTGTGTGTGCTGTGTTTTATTTTGTTGTTGTTGTTTGTTCTTCGCTTCTTTTTTTTGGGTTTCAAGAGTTCCTTGATTTGTTGCAGATGGCCACATGATCAACACCAACTGCTCGTCGTCGCACAGCCGCAAGGCCCTCTGCTGCAAGATGTCCGTCGAGTTCGACACCTTTATAGAGAGCAACAAGAAGTAAGTCAATAAAAAAAGTTTTCCTTTTACCCTATCTCCATTACATATTTCAATATAAATATCTAGTGGAAAAGAGGACTAAGCGCATGTAAAATAATACTCGCTGCGTGCTTATATAACAAACACGGGCGAATCCGAAGAGGTTGTGAAGATGATGGCAGATGGCAATCGGCGAGCGGGAAAAAGAAAACCTCGAAGTAGCAGAAAAAGAATCATCATCATCGTCTGCAGTATTTACCTTAGCATTGCAGCTCTAAACAAACATAATCAGAGTTCGAACATCTGCTTGAATTGTGGATTTTAATTAGAATCGATCCGCACGACCGCCTCATCATTTATTTATCGTTATTAAAAAAGGAACGAGGAAGCGAGAATAAACGGTAACATTCGCAGTTGGCGAAATCACGTTTGATGGACGTTTTGTTCTTCAGTTTTTTTTCTCTGCTACTGGATGCAAGAGCAATTAAATTTTTCGCTGTCGGCTTCCTCCTTCTCGTCCTTTTTTCTCGTTTATTAATGGCCCTTCACTTCCTTCTTAAGTTTCTACAAATGAAACCAATTTGCTCAAAATCAATTGGCCGGATCACGATGCTAGAGAAGAAAACGAAAAAGAAGTAGCTGAAGTCTAATTAAAGCGGGAAACAAATGTTTCAGTTTGACGAAGGAGATTAAATTATATTCAAATTTCCTTCGATCAGCAAAACTTTTCTTAGTTTCTCACTCTTTTTTCTCTGTTTCCAACGTAAAAACGTCCATCAGCATTCATTGAAACGCAGTAACTTAACTCAATCTTATTTAATTTTCTAACAATTAATTCAATCATACTTCTTTTATTGTGACTAAGTTTCTATTGATTACCATGTAGATTTCTGGAATTATTGCCTTATTATTAGCGTATTACGTTTACATAAAGCACAATTACAATCGGTTTTCCCATTAATAACAGTATTCTTTTACATATTTTTAATTACGAAAGAGATTATATCTAATTTGTTTGTTGCTTTTTTTTTCTCTCTTCTCGTTCTCCACATTTGTATTTTAAATTAACCAAAGCAACCTACTTTCAAATTAACGGCAACTCTCGTTTCCGAAACGAAACTAATTTAAAATCAATTGGAGATAAAAGAAAAACAACAACGAATGGTGAGAGGAGAGGCAAAGTGTAAATGAAGAACGTAAATAAATTAAAAGGACGCAATTAAAGAAATGTTATGTAACGAGTTGTCTAATTACTAGGTGGGTCACGTCGAAATTGAGGGTTGATGGTAATCAGTATGAATGAGGATGATTTCGACGTTACAGTTTCGTTTTCCTTTTGTGCGTCGGCTGAAATAATGCTTCAACGTTTCCGCTTCGTTTTCCACTTCCTGGCATTCTTCGGACTCCTCGAACAATGCGAAACGCTTCACGTTTTTCTACTTCTGCGTTCCCATTGTTTGGGTTCGGACGAAATCCGGAGGAGACGTCGTTCTTCGAAATCAAAAGAAAAGAAAATTGCAAACAGATATTCAATAAGAACTGGATTTTGCAATGAATCAATCCAGAAAGAAAGTTCCAATTTTAACAGCGAAAACTTAAAATTGTTTTTGATCTACGTAAAGTGTTGAATATGCATGTTTGACGCTGTTAACGAATTCTTCAGATCCATATTCATGGGAATTTATGCGCAATTTCGGGATTCATGAGTCATATTAAAATTGAGAGCGGCGGAGATCGTTTGTTTGCTTAAATTGAGCCCAATTAAAATGCATGGGTTTTCGGTAAACTTGCCACGCGCATATTTTTTTTTTCTTTAAATTTAAAATTTTCTGATTTTCGTATCGTCTGCGACGACGAAATTGTGTAAAAGTTTATTTCTGTTTGGGACGTGGAAGGTGAAGCGGAGGCACTCGATGAACTTACGGGGAAAAGGGCGAATCTAATTTCGTCTGCGACGAACGTCGCAATTTAAAATTAAGCCGTGCCAAGTCTCAAAGGATCAAGTTTGATGGCAGTTTGTGTAGGTAAACAGTTGAAGGAAGGAAGATGGAATGAGGAGGAGGAGGATGTGTGACAGGTGCCGATTGCACACAGGTCATAAGATTCCTCCTTCAGGTCTAATTAAGACATCCTTCCGCTCCATTAGTTGGTTGGAAATAGGGCCTAAGCGGCACTTTGATGGTCTTTTCGATGCCTCCAGCAAAACTGATATTTCATTCTTAATTAGCCGATACGTTACATGATAATTCGACACCGAAAGAATATTTTAATTCACCTAATTGATTATATTATGCACGAGGCATAATTTTACATAAATTATTTTAATTTATTGCATCGCCAGCTTACCGTCTAATTCACTTTACATGAAGATACTTATATAAATTATATTAGCTAATAAGATACGTTCCTCTCAACTCTTCAAACTCGTCTCTTCATCAAGTATTTCAAAGTATTGATGTTCTCTTAAAACAGAAATAAGTGCAATTGATGTTTAATATGTTTACGTAACGATGTTAGGGTAGGTTTTAGCTGTGTCCAATTGATGTCAATCAACGAGCCCATCCACTCCATCAAATGTACCCACTTTACTCTCTTTATACTGTTGTTCTCTTTCGATACGGTTTGGTGCGACGAGCTGAAAGAACCGAAAGCGGCAATTGCCATTGTGTCGTCGTGCACGCATTATTAAACGGTCACAATTGTAATTGACGTTTCCTCCGTTTAACGCAGATGTAAATTTATTTACCGTAGCCCGTAAAATTACGTTCAATCCGGGATCAACGGCAGTACTAACGCACACTTCTCCTCTGGATTTACTTCTGTACGAAAATTACTATACTTTCCTTCACTTTCGACCGTTTTGTTATTACTCAGTTTTTTGTCCACCGACACCTCGGAAAGGTGCTAAATTATGTATGTAGATCGCAACAGATTACACGTTCGCGTCCCTCAGGTCTTGTTGTTGCCGATGGTGGTGGTTTTGCACCTTTTACGACACCCGGCGACAACGCACCATTTGCATACATTAATATCTCGCATGATTATTACACTGCTGTTATCAACAGGATTCGATGATTATCGGCTTAATAACCTCATTATTTCCAAGAAGATGATTACCCAAGATCTTATCATTTCGTTATTCAATAATTGGTATACGCACCCATTTACATACCTCATTATATTTTAGCTTCAGTTTCAAGCATCGAAGTTTACAATATTCAAAAGCAATTTTACTTTATACTTCATGTAACAACTATAGATTGAATCATACATACTTCTTTATTTCAGTGAAAAAAATTGAGAGAAAACTAATGGTTTTTGGTGGAAAGACGTTTTTATTACCTTCGCCTGTATTTGAACTTTTGCCAAGCCAACTGTAATCGCTCGATTTATATTCAACTATTGTTGAAATATATTATATTCTTACACTATTATTTCTATTTGCAATTTATCTTATTTTCATAAACATAAGCAATATTTAGAGGATTCTAATTTTTGTAAAAAATGTTAAGAATGCTTGTATTTCATTTGTACATTCATAGAGATAAGAGAATTATGGCTATTCGAAATGTTAATCTTGAGGATCTTTGAGAAGTGAGATGAAGACACCTCGTGCAATTAGTCGAAGTTATTTTCAAGAAGATGATTAGCCAAGATCTTATCTTTTCGTTATTCAATAATTGGTATACGCACCCATTTACATACCTCATTATATTTTAGCTTCAGTTTCAAGCATCGAAGTTTACAATATTCAAAAGCAATTTTACTTTATACTTCATGCAACAACTATAGATTGAATCCTACATACTTCTTTATTTCAGTGAAAAAAAAATGAGAGAAAGCTAATGGTTTTTGGTGGAAAGACGTTTTTATTACCTTCGCCTGTATTTGAACTTTTGCCAAGTCAACTGTAATCTCTCGATTTATATTCGTATATCCAACTATTGTTTGAAATATATTATATTCTTGTATTTGCATAAACTTAAGCAATATTTAGAGGATTCTAATCTTTGTAAAAAATGTTAAGAATGCTTGTATTTCATTTGTACATTCCTAGAGATAAGAGAATTCTTGCTATTCGAAATATTAATCTTGAGGATCTTTGAGAAGTGAGATGAAGACACCTCGTGCAATTAGTCGAAGTTATTTCCAAGAAGATGATTACTCATTATATTTTAGCTTCAGTTTCAAGCATCGAAGTTTACAATATTCAAAAGCAATTGCTTGTATACTTCATGTAACAACCATAGATTGAAGTTATTTCGATTGAATCATACATACTTCTTTATTTCAGTGAACAAAAAATGAGAGAAAACTAATGGTGGTGGAAAGACGTTTTTATTACCTTTGAACTTTTGCCAAGCCTACTGTAATCTCTCGATTTATATTCGTATATCCAACTATTGTTTGAAATATATTATATTCTTGTATTTGCATAAACTCAAGCAATATTTAGAGGATTCTAATCTTTTTAAAAAATGTTAAGAATGCTTGTATTTCATTTGTACATTCCTGCAGATAAGAGAATTCTTGCTATTCGAAATATTAATCTTGAGGATCTTTGAGAAGTGAGATGAAGACACCTCGTGTAATTAGTCGAAGTTAATGAAGCAGGAAAGATGATGGTACTTTGCGATACAGTTTCCAGATAAGAGTCGAAGCGGCGATTCTTCATCTTTCTCTTTCCAGAAGACTCTTCCCTTAATAAACAGAAGAAAGAAGTGAGCATATTTCAGTGCCGTCTTGAATTATGGATTCGCGCGACGGGGCTTCCCCCAATTAACTGTACCGATGCGTGCAGCGACCTCCTTCATTCATTCATTCATTCATTCGCAGCATCTCGTTTTTCACAAAAGAAAAAAAAAAGTACATAGAAAATACCCAATTATTCTACCAATTATTTCACGTAACATCCAACTGGATTGTCGAGATGAGTCCCCCTTACGGAAAGCTTTCTCGAGTGTCCAATCATCTTGTGCGATTTACCCACCCGTCTAGACGTCTCGACTCGTTTCGGCCAA